CTGTTGTAAAGGTCATTTTTTGACATAACATCTTGTATATCTCATTGTTGCAATGGGTCCATTTATATCCCTATTTAAACAATTTGTTTTTTCCCTTTCCCTCCACAAATTATACCAACATCAAATACAGTGGAAACAAGGGTTATACCGTGGGGGAGGGACATACAAAGCAACAAAGAAATCATCTTATAAATATGTTAGAAACAATAGCAAGAAAGAAAAAAAACGTTTGAATCCTTATCTTGGGGTTCATTTCGTCTAACATCAACTTATCTGACCGTTTCTGCTTGTCTCAGACACATACTAGTTATGTGAAGTAAGCCAGGCCCAAAGAAACATTTGTCGGCCATGGGGGCTGAACTCTGGGTTTGGGTGCTGTTCCTCCTCTTTCGCTCAAGGCTAGCGCTCTACCACTTGAGCCACAGTGTCATTTCCGGCTTTTTTCTGCTTATGTGGTACTGAGGAATCGAACCCAGGGCCTTATACATGCAAGGCAAGCGCTCTACCACTGAGCCACTTTCCCAGCCTGAGATAGACTTCTTACTTCAGTGATATGGGAACTGGATTTATTCATCCTAAATTAAGTGAAACTAAGATTTGTAAGTCACAAAAAAATCTCAGTTATGGTCATCTTCGAAACAGCTAAACTGTGTGCATGTCCCATTCAGAGAGGAAAAAATGAAATTCAACAATAAGCACAGATTTCTGAAAATTCCTTCTGGAGATTAGGAAGAAACATTTGTTTGCCTACCCACAATTTTAGGGTGGGAAATAAATACTGGTAGGTTTAATTTTAATATGACTGGGTTAAGGCATGTGTGTGTGGCTTGTAAACAGTATTCCTCTGTGTGTGTGTGTGTGTGTGTGTGTATGTGTGTGTTGTAGGTGTGTGTGATGTTTCTGGAAGAACTTAGCATTTGGTAAAGAAAATAAAATTCATGGAGATGGGCAGGACCAATCAAACCTGCCGAGGACCTACACAGAGCACAAAGGCAGAGGAAGGTCATAAGTCCCTGCTTGAGACAGAACATCTGTAATCTCCTGGCCCCAAAAGTGACAGTTGTGATTCTTCAACTTTAGACCTGAAGTTGGCCTTATGGCGCTGTCTTGAATGTTTGTGGAACTTTGGATATTTTGAAAGTGTATAACTAACCAGCTTTTCTGAGTCAGCACCTTGCAGATGGTAGCAGTTTTGAACTTCCATAAACATAATACCAATAGTAAGTCTCTCCTTATATGTATCACTCTATACAATTAATTCGTAGTGCTTCTCTGGAAGATTATGACTAATCAACACTTTCTGCAATCTTATAAACTGTCAGTGACCTTTTCTGACACTATCCTGGGGAGAATATGAAGAAGAAAACCACTCCTGAAATTTTCTCACATAGCCGACAGGAATTTGTAATTTGATTCATGGGCATTGAAGTACTATCTAACTGTAGAAATTACAGAATGAGTAACATTGTAGATAATGTAAATTTGTTAAAATAATTAAAATACTAATTAAAAGTCATAGGCATAAGAAACACCATTAAATCTAAAATAACTATTGATATAATCAAAAAGAACTAATATAAATATGGCTTGAACTTGCTAATGCATATTTTCCATAGATTCATCTATAAATCAATTGTAAAAAAAAAAATCAAAGAATCTGGGAGCTTGTGGCTCATATATGTAATCCTCTGGAGGCTGAGATCTTGAAGATCATGATTTGAATCCTAGATAGGAAAAGCCATGAAGCATGTATCTCAAATTAACTACCAAAAATAAACTGAAAGTGGAGCTGTCACTCAAGTTGTAGAGAGTTACTCTTGAGTAAAAGAGCCCAGTGACAGCCCCAGGCCCTGAGTTCAAGACCCATGACTGACAAAAAAATTACTTATTATTTCCCATGACTTCTGTTGTATGTATTGTTTGATAGCATCATGAAAAGTTCAGGGATTATCATTTCCTATATGATAACTGGTCTATAATTCCAGAAAGAACAATACAAATAAACTATGCAAGGCAAGGACAAGGAAATTACTTTCAAACACACAAAGGGTATAAAGTTGATCAGAATAGTTGAAATCAATGTAAAACTTTGCCAAAAAAATACTAGGGGGATATAAGAGTACTAAGCTTTGACATTTTAGTGGAGAATAAGGACAAAGTTAAGATCAGAGGGATTTGTTACATGCATCATAGAATTAAGAATGTTCTTAGATCACCTGAGAACATGTATTTCTCTTATGTCACAGCAAAAAAATACCAGAAAAAAATGATAAATGCAATGAACGAAGAAAGTGAAATTTTTAATGTACTCTGCTAGGGACTCAAAAAATAGCTAACATTCTTTAATAGCTTATTCAGACAAGAAATTTTGACCCATACCAACAATTTTAGCTACATAAAGAATATAAAGATTGCTGCAGGTTTTTCATATTCTGTCTTTTATAGCAGTCATGGAAACATTTTATGAAAGCTATGGAAGCTGCAAAGTATCCTAGAAAATTTCTTGGAAATTTTAACCAATAAATGGCACTGTGACCAGGTTTTTTCATAATACACATGCATTTATATTTGTGATAAGTTAACAAACATGTCAGTGTTCAATGAAGAAATATGAACAAATGTACCCATTGGAGACAAATTTAATTTTAATCCTCCTTATCATCCACCAGACATGTCCATGAATTGGTCCCTTTCTCAAAGAAATTGTAAGCAGTATTTATAGAATTTTCACAAGTCACTGGGCTCTGGTGGTGTATAATTGTAGCTACTCAGGAGGTTGAGATCTGAAGATTCCATTTCAAAGCCACATAATGCAGCAATGTCTTTTCTTAAAATTCCCCATTTGTATGTGCATCCTACAATGTAAACTACTGGTGCAGTTTAATGTCCCAAGCTATAATTGGGATCTCATTGTACATTTCCAGACTATTTGTTATGTTTATATATTGGTACATACTTAATATCACTGAATGCTCATATTAGTGTTGAATATCCTGTTTACTTATGTGATATATGCTTGTTTGCAAAAATATTAGGAGACATACTGCTAGGAAGTGCTGATCATTTTACCTGTCAAGGTTCTAGTAATAAAACTCATAACTAATAATAATTCTTGTACTGCACTCAGTGAGATCCTGTTTATAAATGTTTTATTTTCTCATTACGCTGAAACCTTATAGCTATCTGTTGCTGTACAATATCAAGTGTCATAGTATTGCATAATACCTCATAACATTCATAACAAGTTTCATTTATCTTTCATAACATTACTGATGCTTCCCAGGCTTGTTATGATTAAATAATATTTTATAATCCCCGAGCTTCTACCAAGTGGGTGAACAATATTTGCAGTTTAACAAGTATTTAGATCATCATTGCACCATGTGGAAAGGGGAGAGTTTATATATTTGAGGATGGTATAAAATGGCATTTAAAATTCAGGAAAAGATAGATTTATATATTCATACATACATATATACATACATACATACATACATACATACATAGAAAACCAGTCATCTGTACTCTCAAAAGAATTATTGTGGATAAGAAGAAAGTAACTCACAAAGCATGCAAACATCAGTAACACCGCCTCAAGCTTAAATAAATGTTTTTCTTTAAATTTTTGCTTGTAAATTTCAAATATAATTGCATTTTAAGCAGAGTTATGAGTTCTAGGAGTAATGAGTAACACAAAGGAAAAAAAGTAAGAGGTAAGGCTTGCTGAAGAAAAAGACTGTTCCTTAATCATTTTATTTTACCCTCCTTAAGAGGTTTTTATTTTAGAGGTTTTAATTTTTTGAGCTCTATTTATATTCTGGATATTTGGCTCTTGTCTTGTTTATAGGTTACAAAAATATTCTCCCATTCTGTATGCTTTATTTTTAGCTTGTTATCTATGTCTTGTGCTTTGCAAGAACTTTGAAATTTGATGCAATCCCATTTATCAAGTCTTTCTTTGATTTGCCTTGCTTCTGGATCTATATTTAGAAAGTTCCTACCTGTGCCCAACATCCATAGTGCTTCTCTGTCCCTTTCTGTACATTGGTTTCTGATGCTTTATTAAATGGAATTTCCTTTGTACAATTACTTAAAATTAATAAATATTAAGATAAAGTAAAACAACAACAAAAAGTTTCACAATAATCTGGAATGACTCAAGTACATTTCAATAAATAGTCTGTAAGCGTACATGGACTCATGAAATGCTTTATCTTTTGTGCTTTATTACTGCAAGAAAATGTGACAAATTTTGATATCCATTATCTCATTAACATAGATAAAATGACTTTTGAAAATATTAAAATGTCTTATTCAAACTACTTAGATTCTGAAATTTTCAGTTTCTTGAAAATTTACTTAAACTCACTGTTGATTTCCCATGTAATGATTGTCATCACAATAATTTATACTGTTGCAAAAATTAACAATGAATTGGGATCCCTGCTTAGGGATTAAGTTTTATTTGATTTCTTAGACACACATGTAATTCAATACAGGGAGAGTATTAGGTGGAAGGAATTTTTGAATCATACAAATAAATGGAATAGAATATTAAATATTTTTATATGTAATATTTTGCATAGATAAGAATTACTTTGGATTATTTGTTATTGCTCATGTAATGTTTCTTTGAAAATGAATATTTTAAGAAAATTTAAAACACAATTTTAAATAAATTAGAGTGAGAGGGATGGGTGAGAATATTGTAATGGGTGACTGATACTTGTCTAGGTATATTGTATTCATAAACTGCTCTGTTAAATGGAAACTCCTTTGTTCAACTCTCTAAAGATAAAAACATTAAGAGAAAATAAAATGAGAGCATTGAAGGCTAAAATATCAGTCAGAAATTAAAAGTGAGACCCTTTAAAATCAATTCCATAAGAAATTGGCTCCCATACATTTTCCATAGTTATTTTTAACATATTCTTACAGATGATTTTGAACCTATATAAAAGATGATAGTAATATTACGCCAGGGCATATATAAAACTTACATGTTTTGTGAAATCTTTGTTTAACATCATGAATAGTAGATGTTTGTGGCATCTGGAAAGAAAAGAAAATAGAAAGGGTTATGATTTAATAGGTGCTATTTTTATATACTTTTGTTAAATATAAAAACTATTCTAATAAGTGTAAATCATAAAAGAATTATAAAACCAAAGTTTTGTTTTGTTTAGCTTTTACATTACTCCTATTTTTTTCAAATCAACACACAGATTGCAAACACTGAGAACGTAATTTAAAGATTACAGTTATATACCAATAATGATGTTATTGTGTGAATTCAACACTCAATCTCAAAACATATTTTGTTCTTTTCTATCCCAAATATTCTATTTTCAAAGCTCACAAGTGTGAATTAAAATTTAACTTGATCCACAGGAGGAAGTATACGTGCAGAGGAATGAACTAAGGAAGTTAAATGTTTACATGCTTATAGATGACAGACAAAAGTGTGTGTGAGTGTGTGTGTGTGTGTGTGTGTGTGTGTGTGCGTGTGTGTGTGTGTGTGTGTGTGTGTTGTGGTCGTGGGGCTTGAACTGTGGGACTGAGTGTTGTCCCTCAGCTCTTCAGCTCAAGGCTAGCACTCTACCACTTGAGCCACCATGCCACTTCCAATTTTTGGAGTGGTTTATTGGAGGTAAGAGTCTCATGGTCTTTCCTGCCTGGGCTGGCTTTAAGCCATGATTCTCAGACCTCAGCCTCCTAAGTAGCTAGGATTATAGGCATAAGCCAGCCATCTACTTCCAGCTTAGAAGAAGAGATTTTTATACCACAATTTCATGAGACAAAGTCATCTTTTTAAACATTATGGCTATATTTAAAAAGATTCAAACTAATAAAATATGTATAATGAAATATATTATCTGAATTAAAAAATATACAATGGTTGTTTTTGTGTGTGTGTGTGAAAATACCATACAGAGGGGTTAGAGTTACATGGGCAAGGTAATGAGTATATTTCTTATCAAGCATTGTTGCCTCTTCTTTTGATTTCCCTTCCCAATAATAGTCAAAAAATAACCAGAAAAAAATGAATAAGATAATCATACTCATCTAAATTTTACAATTCCTTGGGATAATTTATCTAAATACTAAAATACGTCACTATTTATTTTTTGCTTTCTATTAAACTTAAACACACAAAATTTAGTGGTCCTGACCTTGTATACGTTGGCATAGAAAAAAGCCAGCCAACATTAAAAACATATGTAAAGAGTCATTCTTCAATATATATTTTCTTTATTTGAATATGTATTGGAAATTAATCAGACCAATGATCATCAATATATACATATTTTCTTCAGTATTTTTTATTACAAAAATCTCATGGCTCTTTGGAATGGTTAAGTGAAAAATTCAAGAACTGTCTTTCAAATAAGTTCTTATTAATATTGTCATATTGTAATATGATAAATTATAAATGCTCTATTATATGATAAAATATTACAATAAATGTTTTTATTTGCCTTTCTTTTCATAAGTCTTAGACAAATATTCGACATATTGCTCAAAATTTTTCCCTCCTTTTTACAAATTATTATTTATACAGATAGCTGTAGATGTCAGTACTACTGTATGATATTAAAACCCCTATCTGTTACTTTATAATTAAAGAGTAACTAAATTTTTCTATATGTATGAAATAGTCAGATATTTATAAATTTTAATAAAGATGATAGCAAATGCATAAAAGTTTTATAAAATAATATATTCATACCCTTGTATATATTTTACTTTATTTTAATTTTTATTATTGACTTGATATTTCAATTGCCTATTTTCATTGTGGTTTCATAGAATATGTTATTTCATCTTTGTGTAATTTCTTCACACAGCATTTTTGCATTTTTCTTCGGACAGTGTGCCCCAAAACTCACAATTAAAACTCAAAATTCTCATAAAACACAATTCATTATTACCCAATTAGTTCAAGGAATATATGATTTGAAAGAAAATTCTCATTCTGAGTAGTATCTCAATTCAGGCTTGATAGGTGTTGACCTAGATCTTTATGAGGGCTCATTATCTGTGTTTACTGCAGTTGGTTTAACCTGAAAGAATCTAGAGAATAATGTTACTATGTTACTGTTGAGTATGTTTCAACAGATAATGAATTACATAGCGTTATAATAATATCTTAACTCTTATACAAGTCAAAAATATAGTTGTAAGCACAAATTCACATGAAAAGAATAAGAATGAAGTTTTTAGATCTTTCCTCAAGATAGAATAATTAAAATGACAATGTGCCTTGCCATAATCAATTTTCTCAAATATGCACACTTTTAAGACTAAGATTACATTTATCTGAAAGAAACCCACATGTTGAAGTGGATTGTCATACCAACTTTTGCAACACTTTTTTCTTTAATTTCTACTTGACTTTGACATACTATAAAAATGCTGATGCATAAATCTTTTGGAGTGCCTTTTCCAAAGTGCTTTTGTTTTGCACAAAAACATTTAAAAAAATAAAAGAATTAAGTACTGAATGCTTCAGACATCTACTCACTTAACTAAAAGATCATGTTTATCCATTCTTTCCTCTAGTTGTACTCAAAGCACAGGAAAATACAATTATGATAATTAACAGAATATATAAGATTTTTTAATTGCTGAATTAATGCCTCAAGTGGCTTTATCAGAGAGTTCATTCTTATCATCTTATTTTCACCCGGGTCTTCAAAATCTAGAAAAGGACAAATGATCATTAAGGTAATTTATTCAATTTTATGAATTACATTTAATTGTAAGAATTGGAGAAATAAGTGCTTCTCTATTGGAAACTTTCAAATTCTCTTCATTATATGTCTTTCTCATTAGAAAAATTAAGTCTTAAAATAACAAGGAGAAAAGTCAAATGGTATTTATTAGCTGAACTAAGAGTGTACTTCTAAATTTTAATGGATCATTAATGAGATTGGCTTACAACTTAAGATAAACTTTAAGTTGATGAACAAAGAATAAAAATCAGTCAACAGTGTGGTTTAATTTGTCCTTGTAACATTTTATTTCACAGGAAACATTCTCCTCATGGTAAAACTATGTGATGGTAATTTTGTGGGGGCTTCCTATATGAGAAGTTGTCACGAAAGTACTGAAAGGAACAAAAATTAAGTGGAAAGAAAAAAACTTTTGAATTTGTTTGAAGGAAGAATTCTCTTATCTATTTGTTTATTTTCTTCTTTACTCTTAATGTTACAACAAAGGTGACGCACAGAGGGCTTACAGTTAGATAAATCAGATAATAAGTATATTTCTTTTTGTAGTTTTGTTACTCTTATCCTGTCAGTTTCCTAGTTTTTCCACAAGTCACCCAGAAAGGGTACTCACTAAGTACTATTCAAAACAAACGTATTATACAACTTGTGGATGGGGAAAGGGCATGAAGGAAGAATTCTAATATGCAAACTACAAACTAATATTGAACATTGCAAGAGTGAGAAACATATCTACCAGCAAAGATAGAAGAATAAGTGACAAATGGAATCATTAATTATAAAATGTAAAGATATTTAAACACAATTATAAGTACACTTGTGCATACTCATGCACAAAAAATCCAAAATATCCAGTTCACCCAGCATTCCTTATGACAAGGGCTCTTTCTGCTGTTTTTAACCATATAAAGGGAGAGTTTTAGCCCAGGGAATCTTGGCTTAGCATTTATTAACTCAGGAAAGCAGGAAAACAAAAACAAAAAACAAAAAAAAAAGATATATTTTTTTTTTTTTGGTCACGGGTCTTGAACTCTGGGCCTGGGCACTGTCCCTAAGCTCTTCAGCTCAAGACTAGCACCCTACCATTTGAGCCACAGCACTACTTCCAGTTTTGAGAGTGGTTTATCAGAGATAAGAATCTCATGAACTTCCTTGCCTGGGATGGCTTTGAACCATGATCCTCAGATCTCAGCCTCCTGCTTAGCTAGGATTACAGGCATGACCCTCCAGTGCCTGCAACTTTTTTTTTTAATGGCTTTGAGTGAATAGAATATGAAATCGAAAATTTTGTTTATGAAGCACAATGGTTTCTTATGTAAAGGAATGCTATTTTGCTAGTTTATAGTCTTCAGTTTATAAATACCATATAATTAAGCAGTCAATTGTGAATTATTTTTAATTATATTTTTCTTACCATTAAGTAGTTGCAAAAAAGAATTACCACTAAACAGAGCAAATTATGAATGCAGTGCATCTTGATTGAAGTCACCCCATTTCTCCCATCCCTCCCAACCTAAATTGTCTCTTCAATTTTCTCACAATTTCCCAGGATATACATTGTTCATGCTCTTTGGGGGATTTCAAAGAACGGAGGGTAAATGAAAGAAATATTTTTCATAACTTTAGAATTTATTTTTGGTTCAATTTCATTTGGTTTGTTTTGATTAATAGAGTGTTTTTCTTGTTATTGCTGTTCTTTTAAGAGCAGCCTTTCTGTGTAGGCCACTCTATAACCAGCTGAGTAGTCAAAGTGTCCTAAAATTTTACTTCCTTCTCCTGAGTACTAGGATTACAGGAGAACACCACTACACTTGACATAGACTGATTGTCTCTATAGAATACCAAAAAATTCATGATAGAAATCCTCTTTACAACAGTATGCTTCTTTCTGCAATTGTATACTTAACATCCATGTCACATAGTAGGCTGTAAACATATCAATCACAACAGAATATTATATGTACTGATCATTATTGTATATATCATATATATTAAAATAATGAGCACTTCTACCTTGCTAATTAAATAATGCTCACCTTAATTTTCAAAATATTATTTTGATAAACCTTATTTGATAAAACTCCCAATTGATAAACCAGCAGTATGATATCATCCGAGAATTTTTAACATTCTTTTTATTCAAACTCAGATTTGGAATTGGGCTTTCTAGAAATCCCAGTCTATACTACACACTCATTAAAAATCTATAATATTTAGCATTTAATGTATAGGCTAAATACTTAACACATTCAACTAATTGAATTGCCTTATGGGAAGAATACATTATTTTGTTACTATGATACAGAGTTTCATGAAAGC